GGAGGCTTATTATATATTATTATATATTATTTTTACACTTTTGAGCTCCAAAAAGTATAAAAATATCCCATATGATATTTCATTAACACTTTACAATAAGGTTCCATTTGTTTACATATAGTTAACTACATTAGTTAGCATAAACTAACAATGAAAAAAGTATATTTATTGTTATTATTTAATTGTTATTTCAACATTTGCTAATGCATTATAAAAATCGGACAAGCACGAAAAAACAGATGCATTTATATTCGCTAATGTTAAAGATTCTTTGTTACGTTGATGCTATTTACTGTATTAACTAATGTTAACTAATGGGACTTTATTTTTTATATAGTGCTGTTTTGTCATTTTTGGAGAATTTATAGTCATGCATACTTTGGAAAAGAGCAGCATCAACATTCTGCTAGGTATGTTAGTGTTTCTCTGGTGATGATAGAATATAAAATTTTTGGATGCATTATACCTGTACAGACTCAAGACACATTAAAAGCAGAAATGAAGTTTGACAACTTTCAATGGTTTTGTCTTCCTGTTTCTGTCTCTCTTTCTCTTTCCCTGCCTGTTTATGTCTAAAATAGGGAAAGTAGTTTGCTGGCCGACTTGTGTTAGAGCTTTGGTGAGAGAGAGAGAGTGTGTGTGTGTGTGTGTGTGTGTGTGTGTGTATAAACACAGTGCCAGTGTCTCTCAGGCTGTGTGTGTGTGTGAGAGAGAGAGTGTGTGTGTGTGTGTGTGTGTGTGTGTGTGTGTGTGGAAGTAGTTTGCTGGCCGACTTGTGTTAGAGCTTTGGTGAGAGAGAGAGAGTGTGTGTGTGTGTGTGTGTGTGTGTGTGTGTATAAACACAGTGCCAGTGTCTCTCAGGCTGTGTGTGTGTGTGTGTGCGCGTGCGCGCGTGTCATCATGCGGTCATTGTGGCACTATGTGAAGAATGAGAACGAGAAATATTGATAAGAGGCTGAGAACAAGAGTGTGTCTATAGTGTCATGCATTACTGTCTACATAGACAGCTCCCTTGTAAGGCAGCATCCTAACTGAAATGAACCCTCAAAAGGGAGTGATTTGAATCATTGGCAGAAACACCATGATATGATACCCTAACTAAAGTAAATTGTGCACATACACTACTGCTAAAAGTTTTTAGTAAAAAACAATAATATTGTAAAATAATTTTAATTTAAATATTTTTTTCTATTTTAAAATAAACATATATTTTAAAATGTGATGCATTTGATGAGTAGAAAGGTAAAAACTGCATTTATTTGAAATAGAATCTTTTGTAACATTATAAATGTCTTTACAGTCACTTTTGATTAATTTAATGCATCCTTGATTAATAAAAACCCCAAGCTTCTGAATGGTAGTTTATCAAGGTTTCTACAGAAATATCGTGCAGCACAACTGTTTTCAACTATTGATAATAATCAGAAATGTTTCTCAAGCAGCAAACCAGCATATTATACTGATTTCTGAAGATCGTGTGACACTGAAGACTGCAGTAATGATGCTGAA